ATTGGAGCCAACACAAAATGTCCAGAACTCACTTTCCCATGAGAACACGACATGACCCACAATTTGTAACATATCAGACAAGCGATTTCGACATCTTTGAGTTTCCTTTGCCTCTGGCTGCAGTCTGACTTCTATGGGTTTTCACTCTTCGCTCTAAGACCTTTCTCATTCATTGTTGCTATGATTTCTCATTTTTGGTGCAGCACTTCTCAGCACATTTGTTGCGAATCTTGTTGTTCTTATTGTTATTCCATTTTTTTTTACAAATGACAGCTCAACTCTAATGGACTGGAAGGTCAAATAAAGACATACAGCCAACTAATCAAGAATTTGCAGACTTTTATTGGAGATAATAGTCTGCAAATTGTGATAACACTGTGACACATTTTGAATGTTATGAAATCCTCTAAAGTCGAATGGCACCCAGGAGAGTGCATACTTCCATCAAGGTTCCATAACTGTCCCCTTAAATTCACTCAAGTTGCACCACACAGTCATAAATATCAGTTTCCAGATTTTTTAAAAATCAGAATCCATGATTTACCTGCTGGGAAAACATAACGCTGAAAATGTGGAAAAAACGATAGTGTTAAAGACAAAACATTTTTACTGGATCTGCCCTCCGATCCGATCTGCACCAAAATTGAATGGATTCTTCCCTGACACATGTCGCATGCCAAGTTTCATCGAAATCTGAACATTTTGTGTAATTTTGCTGACAAACAAACAAACACACCAGCCAACCAACAAACAAACAGACAAGGTTGAAAAGGAGGTAATCATCAAGACATTAAAAAACAGGGGAATAGAGGTTGTAAAGTCATTTTGTGACACTGTGCTGTATTAATAATCGTTACAGTAATTATACAAGTATTCCCTATCACATAACCCACACATATATTCGATGAAAGTTCAGTTTAACATTAGTTTTGTTGGACATAACAGATTGGCTTCATGAATTTGAACTCTCCCTCTTCTTCATACTATCGGATGCTCTGATACTGCCCTCTGCTGTTGTGCTGCACACATAACACTAGTCTGCTCATAACCTAAAGATGAAACTTCCATAGCTTTCTGTCTCCGTCAGTCAGCGAGTGTGGAATGACTCATAGATATGAGGGTTTTTATATTTGTACTGTGACCTGTCAGTCCAAGATGACTGCATGCTGGAAGAGGTCAGGGAACATGAGTTAAACACTTGGCTGTTCTGGAGAAAAAACACTTGCAGCCTGACATCACAGAAAACTTTTAATTTCCTCAAATGTTCTTAACAAATGTTCCGTCCTGACTTTGACTCTGAGGATTTTTAAAGTCCCTCCAGATGCTGCCACTGCTGATCAGTCCTCAGGTTATTGGTCCAGGTTAAAAGCTGAAAAGGGAAAACTGGATACCACCATCAGGCCAAATTCCCAAAAGCAGTTTAGAACATCTTTAGGGATGACATTTAGACATGATTATAGGCAGTAACATTGTTTCTGATATTTATAGCCTATATGTCGAATATCCTTTTTATATATGGCAGCTAGACGTATGCCCCAAAATCAATCCAGTCCTTTTTTCCAGTGTAATCTTTAAGGTGACATATCAGTTTCCCTGATCTCACACCAACATTTAAAGGGATCCTCTATGACCTAAACCACATCCCCTTCCACAAGGTTTCATGGAGATCCATCCAGTAGTTTTTGTGTAACCCTGCCGTCAAACAAATAGACACAGATGAGACATCACCTCCTTGGTGGAGTTAACAATGCAGGTTTTAAATGATATAATATACACCATCCCATTAAGTACAGTATGTTCTGTACCAGACGCAATTAACTATAATCTGGTTTACAAACAGATAAAACTCAAAGATGAAGAACATTATTCCGTGCTGATTTGCGGATGTTCAGTTTATTTTTATTCAATTTTATTCGTAAAGTGCCAAATCACAACACACATTATCCCAAGGCTCTTTACATGTCGAGACTTTACAATTCAGAAACATTTCATTCCGTGACTTCACACTCTTTGTTGCAGGTGTGTGAATGTGTTTTTCTTTTGCTGCAGCAACTGTAGCAAAAAGTGTGAGAGGAGTTTGGGAATCTGAAATCATTTGCGCAGCTGTTAGCATTGTTAGAGTCAAGAATAAATGACATTTTGCAACTCCTAAAGTATTTTTCTCTGTCTTCAAATCTAGCGATACACATGTGTGACTATTTTCTACAAAGACAAATTCCAAACATGAAATGTTTTGGAGATTCAGTAACAGATTGTGGAGAATACTTTCAACAACTTACTCTGTGTGAATTAAATCCAACCGCAGCAGGTCATGCATAGACAAAGTAAAGTCAACACTAAACCCACTGACAGGAACTCTGACTAATAAATGAATCATCCACTCTCATGAGGGAAATACCTGAGTTTCCAGGTAAATGTGTCATCCTGCAAAGAGGATGAGTGAAAACACGGCTGAATGAACCCACCAAGCCAAAACTCTTCTGTTGGCCTCTAGTAACTGACTCCTCCTGTGGTGGAGCTCCAGGTAAGATGGTAGATTGTGACACATTTTGAAACATGAAACAATTTTGTGTTTTTCACAAAACGTAATTAGTTTGTTTTTTATTTACTGTTATAAATTACCCAAGTACCCAGAATTCCCTGCTTTCTTTGCAATCGAGCTGTGACATTTTGATATTTTTACATTTTTTGTCACAGTCTACATTTCAGACTGTGAGAAATCTGATTAATGAAAACAATTTAAACAAGGAACACCGTCTTGTGCCTTACTGCACATAGTGGGTCTGTGTGAAAGTAAAATCACTCTTCATTGGATCCATTCAGGCTTCATATAAACACAGCTCGTATTTCACTCTGTGCTGCCACTTCCAATTTGACTGAAGCAAATGCTGAGACACTTCTGATCCTGCAAACTGAAAAAGGATCTACTGACTGCAGAGGAGTTTCACGTCACTCTGGATTCTGAACATCCAAACGCTGCTTGAGAAAGTAATTAATATATGCAAAGAGGAGGCTGAGTTAAATCATTGATGTTCAACACATGTCCCAATGTCACTTCTTAGTAGATCATGGCTGCAATGTTAATTATGTCAGTAATATACATATATTGAAAGTTAGCGTACATGTCTATTTATCTATCTGTCTGTCTTTAACGCTCAAGCTGTTCTGCAATACTCAGAGTTGTTACGTGAGGAGCAGAGGTCAAGCCTGCAGGGGGCGCCATCATACTACTGACCCTCTGTCAGAGGGGATGGTCTGTCTTGTCTCTCTTGGTCTTGCTGTAAATTGAGGTGACCTGATCTGCATGGAGGATTCATCAGTATGGGAGAGTGGGGAAGTCCTTTGACGTAACAGTACAAGTAGAGATTTACCCAGGGAATGAACATGTGTCTTACATGTCCCTTTAATACACAGATTACAACAGCTCTGGGTATCTCTAAGAAAAAAAGAAAACATTAAAATCCTATTTAAAGCATTTAAAGTCAGGTCTAAAGATTTAATGCTACATTTCTCCGATCCATCCCAACCCTTCTCAATGCATTTCTACAAATGTGCTTAAAAGAGAAAAATATCCAGACCGTTTGCGGTGGAGTCCATCTGTGGCAGACTGAGTGAAATAGAAGTGGTACAAAGGGTAAACACTTGGTCCAAATATGTCACGCTGCATTTCAGGACAAAAACCAGGTCATGAAGTCCGAGGAATTCTCTGTAGACCTCTGTGATGTAACTGTGTGGCATAGATCAGAGCAGGGCTATTAAACCATTTCTAAAGCTCTGCGTGTTCCCTGGAGCACAGTGACCTCAATCAGATAAGGAAACACCAGGACTCAAAGTGATGAGCGATGCAGTTCTTGTCATTGTCCCACATCAGTGGAGAGTCGGTTTATTAAAAAAAGAGTTTGTTGAAAAGATTCATTCGTCCAACTGTTCGACAGAGTTTAACCTACTTACTGCCACTTAGAGCTGAATCACTCCAACATGCACTGTTCCCTCACAGCAGAGTGAGCGAGCGGATGCCTGCAAATGTTGGTTAGATATTAGTATATTAATCTAAAAGTTTTTTTTCTTTTTAATATACTTTACTTTTGTTGTTATTGCTTATGGAATGTATATTGATGGGCACAAATAGCAAGCTGTTGCAAATCCATCCTTTCACAATGAATTTTAAAAGCACTTGATTTAAAATCGTTGGAACTTTTTCCTAAACGTACAAGCTTTAGAAACATTTTTCTAGCGGCAAGTTTCACATTAAAAAAAAAAGAAAAGAAAAAACAAACTCTATCAAAAAGCAGCTTTAATGCTTGGGAAACAAGAGAGAAATATTTATTTGCAATCAATTCAATTTTCAGCGCCATGGGAGAACTCGGGCAGATGATGTTAAAGAAAATGCTTCTTAGTTACCCAGATATGCTATCTGATTTATTGTTTGGATTTGATGAGCACTGGGTCATCAGATCCTTTCAAACTACACAAACACATCTGAGAGTATTTCATGCAGAGAAAGAACCAACGAATTGTCTTGTGCTAATTGACTGTAAGTATTTAAAGATATCAGACCAGGGCTTAGTTTATTACAGGCATGTAATCAGCCGATCTCACTGACTGGCTCTTAACCAGAGATAAAGTTAAAATAATTAAGATAAAAATTGTTATTTACACAGTATCAGTTCATCTGTATTTTCCGCAGATGAACAAGGACACTGTATGATCTCATACATATATATTAAAAACATGGATAAATGATAAAGCATCTCTGTGGTTGGTGAGCAGTTGAGAAAACAGCAGGTTCCTCTGCAGCGACACCTCATCTCCATCACAGAGGAAGACGGCAGCTCACACACAAAGCGGCCCGGCGTACAGAATTTAAGAGCACAGCTTTCAATGAGCTCTGCAGCTGAGACGTAATCTTCCTCGCCACTCACGCGCCTCTGATGAGCCGGGCCCTTCACGTATGGATGCTGCACTTATTTGCATAAATGATTATTATTCAGACACAGCAGGAGCATCTATCAATTTGTCTTTATTTCATTTACATATAGAAAATGGTTGGCACGTTTCTCGTTTTAGTTGTTTTTGACTGAACATGTGTGTCCTTCTATGACTTACCAGTCACTAATATACACTGATAAACTGAAACCCAAAAGGCAGTCTTGGCGCTTCTTCACATTCATCAGGACACTTTAATTCCATGTCAAAACAAGACAAAGCAGGATCCAGACAGGACAAAGTCATTCTAATGTCATCCACCATAGTCTCTACTGTCTCTGTGGATGTTGTCACCGCTCATGTTTGGGCATAATGTCTCTTCTGTCCACCGCCACCATACCCGGCCTGCTCAGCTCCTTAGGAGACACATCTGCGTAAAACTCAGCCACCACAGGGCAGTGATCCGACGCCACGCCGCCCCATGACCAGTTATCTGGGATCCAGGGGTTGGTCAAGCCCTCCCGCACGACCATACAGTGTCCTGTCAGAGGGAGACACAGCATGCACGTTAGACTTCATGACCATACTGACACAATTAACTAAAGTGAGGCCTGACCTGACAAAAACTGTTGTGTTTTAAATTTAAATTATTAAATTAGGAATCCTGCACTGAAAAGTAGTTGATTTTAACCTGAACTTATAGTAAAAACCCATTTAAGTCATTTTAATGATCAGTGTTCAGATTCCTAAAAAGACTCAAGACTAGACTCTTTTTGGAATTGATCCAAAATAAAATCAATATTAAATATTAAAATGCCAATTTAGTTTTCTTGTACTTGGAAAAACTCAAGACTTCAAGATCTTTCTCAAATGAACTGGACTTGTCTTAAATGGCAGAAGACTTCATTTGTACTTAGGATTTGTCATTAGGGTTAGACTAACTTAGGACAGCACTGGAACTCTCTTTGATGAACTGAATTATCTTAAACTTGTCTCCGTTGACTTTGACTCGAGATTTTCTCAAATGACTCAAAAAAGCTGGGACTTGACTCGAACTTGTTTACAATGACTTAGATTGACTTGGTTGGCTCAGGAGGGAGCGGCTCATCCTAAGATCCACCTGTCTGCATGCCAAAGTGTCCTTGGGCAAAATACTGAACCAAAAAAAAAACACAAAACCGCCAAAATGATTTGGGCTTGTCTAAACTGAGTTGGAAATTGAAGTAGACTTTGATTTGAGACTTGACTTGGACCTGGTATGACTGCTTATCATTTCAAATCTTAAGTTTAACCACCATTTAAAAGACGCCCATCGTGTACACTTACCAGAACAGAGCTTCTTGAGGGAGCGGCTGACCCAGATGTTGTCCAGGCATTGGGTGCCCTGTGGTGAGCGGGTGCTGATGTTGGTGAACTGGGTGGAGGGTACCAGGGCACAGAGTTTCTCTTTTCTCAGTATGTCCAGCTCGGCGCTCTGAGGGGGGTAGCCAAAATCTCCCAGCACCACCAACTCCTTTTCAGCTGCACAGAAAGATGTGGAGAGTAATGAATTCAGTTCTCGTCATTTACATTCATGCAGAGCTGGGAATAGAGCTGGAGTCTCACTCAATAGTCAATATTCTCTCTTCTCCTCAATTCTCATTGGTCATTGCCTTTGTTTACATTCATAAGGCGAACAGAACTACATCAATAGCCTTCGGGGGTGAATCAATTATTCTTGGCATTAAGGTAGACACGTGAAGAGACACGAAGAGAGAGACGTGAAGAGACAGAGACAGGGATGGAGAGACACATGGAAAACTGAAAATTCTTACTAAAAATGAATATCAGATTAGATGCTCATTTGCAACAGTAGCGATACCAACAGTGCGTCTTCACCTCTTCCAGCCCATTAAAACTTGAGCCACATTAACCATTTGTTAAGTTATCATTAAGCTAGAGTTTAGCGGCTATGGTTGAAAATAAAGAGACTAACATTAATGTTGGAGACTGGCAGCAAACGTTATCAGTGCTGCCCGTCTGTAACGTTAATAGACAGTGTTCATTTAACAGGATTACACAATGGTTTGTATCTGAAAAGTGAGATGATTCTCTTAAAGCAGATTGAAGCTGAGAGAAGTCAAGCAACTGGACATAAACAGTGATGTTGATGTTACTGTCTGTATTGCTCTAAGCCTAACTCTGAACCCTGGTCGCTATCCCATCTGAGTGCATTCACACCTGGACTTAGAGCTGTCCACTTGTGATGGGAACACAAAAACCACATGTTAGGTGTGTACGGGGTCTGAGTGAACCCCCCCCCCCACATTGTGTGACACGTGAGCTGTAAAGTCTCGAAACAATGATCTTGGCTGTGATGCGACAGACTGACCTTTGAGTGTCTCCTGGATACTCGGCGAGAGGCGCTGACACTTGACTTCTTCTGTGTTGTGGTTCTTGCCGTTGGACTCTCCTGGTGAGGCTGCGGCCTGCATGTGCATGTTCACCACTGACAGTTCGTATGAACCAACCTGATGGAAAACAAACGTCATTCGATTCTGGTTAGATTTTATTATGGCAATTAAATAAAACAGTATGATTAAACAAACACAGGGATATGCACATAATTAAAACATTGCAGCTTATTGTTAGAACTGTGCCAACATGTGTTGTGTTGTGTTATTATGTTGTGTTGTGTTATTATGTACGTTCATCAGAGAGCATTCAAAAGGGATTTAGTAACGCTATGTCTTGTTCCACAACTTTTTAGTTTTGATGACCAGTTTACAATAGCTAGAAAAGTCAAACTCTCTCTCTCTTAGTCAAGCCCAACTGGAACCTGACAAGGATTCTGTTCTTTGTGCCTGAACCGGACCCAAGCCTAATGTTTTCTCCGATTACAGGCAAGTGCAGTAAAAAAAAATTGTGCAGCCAACAAGACCGAATCTAACCAAAACCGAACCTCAATATCATTTCAAAAATGCTGTCTGAACCCAACATCCCAACGGGTCCGGACAGGCTTGGGTCTGGTATCCACACTTTAATTCCCTCTTGGAGAATGAAACACATCTCCCGAAAACACTTGGAGCGGAAATAATGATCCAGTGACGACGACAGACGATCAGCTGTTGATGTGATCAGCTGGAAAACTGCACACATGTTTAGGAAAAGTGCATTGGCAAAGAAAAAGTAATAATAATAATAAAAAATCTGGAGTTGAAGACTGTGAAATGTGGTTACAACTTCAGGGGAAAGCTATTTAGTGACAGAGTCAAGATGTTTCATGTGCAGCTTTCCAGAATGTCCCCTTGGAGCTAATTCAGCTAATCACCCACCAGACAGTCTGAACGTCTTCTTTTCTTATATTCCAAAAATGGGCTCAAATTCTCATTTAGATATGAAATGTAACGTGGAACAGTTCTATAATCAAACCATTATTCATCTCCTCACTTTAAAAAGATGATCTATTCATTTTTGGTTAATTATTACTAGGATATTTGTATTCCTTTTTTCCCTTTTGTTTCTGTTTGTCATTATTCTAATTAACTGAATAATTATTATTTATATATTATGTATTATATTTTAATGTTCCTCATGCTGTATGTTGAGGTCTTAGTATGAGCCCTCGGCCTCCACCCCCACCTCTCTTGCATATTGTTTAACATTGTATTCAGTGTGAATGTGCAACCCATCTTTTTGTGAAACACTGTAAAAGAAAAAAAGTGTTCTTCTTTTTCTTTTTCATTTCAACATCACAGTGTGTTTGTAAGCCATGAATTCATAACTTACAATAAAGTGAGCCAGGTAGAGGAGCGGGTAGGTGTGATGCCCATTGCCACTGACAACAGGAGCGTCCAGGACAGAAGCGTCCTTCAGGTCAATACCGGACGAGCTGTCCCACAGAAAACCAGAGTAGCTCACTCCCTGGAAACAGAGGATCATGGGAACTGGAGTCAGTTATATATGTTTAGATGATCTTGCCTATGTAACACCAGTCTCTATATCATTACTAACAAGGAGCTTATGACCAATTTGTATACAGGTCATAGTATCATCTATACGGGTCATCTCTCAGCTTATTGAATTGTAAAAATGCATTTGTTATGTTCTAACTCATAAACTCATAAGGAGGCGACAGCCATGGAAAATGTGAATTGCTGCATATGAACCACTAAATTACAGCTGAATTATGACTGAATAAAGCAAGTTCACAGAAATTCAAATGTTACTTTAATTTCCTGACTGTGGCTTGAGTTGTTTTTTCTGACTGTATGAGCCTCCAGGTAATCCTCATCATGTGTCATAGAGCCTGATACACAGAGATGCATTATAGACCAAAGGTCAGCTCATTAGGCTCAGTCACAGTAATCAAAGTGCAAAATGACCTGCTTGTTCAAAAGACAGTTTGGTAACTGGAGAATGTTGTAGCATGTATAATGCTAGGACAAAAAAGATATTATAATGTTCCAGTATGAATTCACAGGAACCTTCTATGAATACTGGGTAGAAATACATCAGGATTGATAGAATGACACGAGGAATTGCAGTATACAAGACGTAAAACTACAGGAAGAACATCAGGAAAATAAACGGTAAAATCCAACAGTGTGTAACGATGTGATGTTACTCCTTAACATTAAATGCCTCATATGACTTCTTGACTTTCCTTGTAACCGCCTCATGTGTTTCATATTTTACACTGGGGTGCAGCCAGGCTTTGGAAATAATGAGGAAGTCAATAAGGAGATTTTGCCAAAAAAATTAATCTCGATAAAGTAGATACATTAATGAATATGTTTTTGTTTGGCCAGTTCTAGTGACCATACAAAAGCTTAGGAAGCAACCAGATGTGCATTTGATAAATCAGTCAGTTACTTTTAATATTTTTTCATTTTTGTAAAAAACTAAATGGAAGTGAGACTTTCACCTCATCTCAATTTGCCCTTTTCATCACTGATTAGCAGCTACCACAGATAGATGTCCTTAACTATGCCTTGGCCATCTGTCCAGAATAACATATCACAGTGTGTTAGGGTAGAATCACAATCTGAATCACAAATCTCTCCACAGATTTAGCTGCACTCATGTGATCACAGGAATGTTTGTGCATGTATGGCTGCATGGATGCAAAGCCACTCACTTCAACTCAAAGCTACAACAACAAAACAAATGAAACTGCAGAAGGAAGGACAATAAT